CTGATGTAAGGGGAGGCGGGCAGAGTAAACTGTGACTTGTTGTAACAAAAGCACAATATTTTTTTAAACTGCATTTTCTCTGTATCTATGAAGCGCCTTGAGGCGACTTTTGTTGTGAATTGGCGCTATATAAATAAAATTGAATTGAATTAATATTATCTTAGTAAGAACTCATAAATATCACAAATCTGTTGATATTTTTCTGTGTCTGGAAGAAAAGGGCATTGCCCAATGTATTTGATGTTTACATTCCCAAATATCTGCATCTATATCAGTACTATAATCCCGTATGCATTAGGCTGGGTGTTGAGAATAAGTGCTGCTGTTAGCTGGAGTTAGTGAAACTTATTTTGACGTTGGGCTCACTCTGCACTTGTGCACTTAGCAAACTCTCATATGATGCGAGACTGTAATTAAGGTGTTTATCAGAGGGAGAGTGTGATTCTTCCTTCAGATAAACACTGGAGCCTAAGCAGGCATAAAGCTAGCTTATAGTACTGTTAATGTTTAGCCAGCTCTTGTCATCTGTCCTGAGATGTAGGGTTGCATGTCTAATCTACTGAAATAAGTAACTGCGACAATACTGGGAGTGAATATTCATGTTTAGGCATATCTCCGTGTGTTAGAGCCCTGACTTCAGTTCAGGAAATGAGGCTTGAGGTAAGGAGAGGATGGGCTTGAAATCAGGGAGGAGAGAGAGCAGTGGTGGAGAAGGTAAATGAAGAGGAGAAGTCGTGCAGATGTTAAATGGTCATACACAGTTTGAAAGATCTATTTGAGGCCTTTTTCAAATAAAACTTCAAATAAAAGGCATACTGTGTGCTAAATACATAAAACAAAGTTAAGAGGAATGGCAATGTCCAACTCAGCCACTGTGTTCACGACGGTGGGAAGCTGTGGTGGCTTACACAAACTGCCGCCCACTCCAGTGTAGTTTTAATGGATTCATTCTACATTTATGAGAACACATCAGTCTGTTGCGAGATGCAATTATGCACTAATAAATGTGTGTTTATTAGTACACGATCTTTTTTCTATTAAAGTTTAATAACATAGTTACTGTAGGTTTAGCACATACTACATCGCAGCTTCATAGAGTATATTTACTTTAGTGGCACTACACTTAAGTTCAAAGTATCCTGCCACATTACTGTAGAAGCTAATCAGAAAAAAATAGTCCACAGCATTAATGCTATTTTACATCAAGAATCTATTGCTGAATAGTGTAATTAACAAATGACCTCATTATTTTAATGTGTAATTAAATTGGAGGAAGTAGTAGAGCCCTTCTTGTAACAAGCCACATGTGCAGACTTAGATTATGGATGTTGAGGAGTAGTCACGTGATACGGACCAAATTAAATAATCACATGGAAAAAATAATCCAGCTTGTCTGTCAGTCATATACACACAGTCTCCTGTCAGGTCATTGGAAGCAGCTGAAATGATTTTCTCTTGCAGTCTTTTTGTCTCTCTGCGCTCGTCATCATCTGTGAAAGCAATGATTCTGGGCTGCTTGACAGATGATTCAGTCGACAGTGTTTGTCTTCAGTAAAGTCAGTTTAACGGGACCCCCTGTAGCTTACCCTGTAAAGCGTGCGCTTCAAGCACCAAAGCTGGGTTCCAATTGGAGCAACCCAGGAATGACTCCTTCCCACGCCCAAGCCCAAGCTTGGGCATCTATTTTTGCCTTTTGTGACAGTAGAAAACATCACCTTCTCCATCTTCTTTAGCTTGAACTGCATATCTACACAGATGCACAAAAGTCCATTTCAAGTGTCTAAATGACAGCAAAGTTTTATGTTTAGAAATTCCCTTTTCCAAAAGTTGAGAACTCTTCTTCCAATTAAAAAAGCATTACATTTGGGCAGCTGAGTGGAGCTCCAGCTTGGATATTTTCAATTGTGGTCTCAAAATGTCCAAAAAAAGAACTCTTCTTTTGAAACTTGTTATTCGTGTTCTAAGAAATGAAGGTTATTTCATGTGGAAAATTGATGATTTCATACAAAGGTGAGTACTACTTCCTTCACAGAACTGCACTAATATGTTCTAACTAGGATAGAAAGAGATTAAGAAGGCTCATACTTGGCAAACAAATACATCGGAGACTCTAATTTAAAAGTCCACAACTGGCACCTTCGTCACATGAAACCGGTAAACTGGGAGATCGCCATGATCTAGGTGAGTTTGCAAAAAAAAAGCATCAAGTAGGGGACATAAACATTTAAGGATGAGCAAATGAACCCTTAGGACATGAGGAGATCAGGGATTGAATGTCAGCAACAATATGACTGTAATAACACTCGTTTTAGTCTAGTCTTTAGAAGGTAGGTTTGATGTGGCATTACAGATGGATGCCAAAGTTTTCCCCTGAACAGGAGAAAAGGCCAAGCTCTGGCCTGCCACCCATACCCATGACACCTGCCACAGAGGTCAATCAGCTAGGGGTGCCACGTCTGTCAGAGCCAGGGTGAGCTGGTTAGCTGGTCACCAAGCACTTTAATCTGCAACAGATTCCCACCACCTGGCTCTGCTGGCGTGACACCAAGGCCAGCAGCCCCAGCAATCTGCCAACCCACTGTCACATTGTGAAGGGTTCAACATGAACTTAACTGGGGATAGATACATGGATGGATGGATGGATGGATGGATGGATGAAGCATTCACATTGAACCTCCATCTCTTAAAACCTTTTGAACACATATACTGCGTTCCCTATGATCAGCCCAGCTGTGTGCTGGGAACAGTTAGTGCCGTGGGTGACCCACAAGCTATACTGCTGCATGTGAATACATGAATATTTGCCTCGGGGGAGGATTTGCTCTCGGGTCTTTGATTATCGGTTCACAGTCAGGCTTTTCAAAATGACACAACTGTTAGATTCCCCTTCAGTAATATAACATGTAGCTTGTAGTCAAATCCCCCCATCTGTTGGATGAGGGCTCAGCACTTTGGCACGGCTGTCCTTGTTGTTAATGCATGCTGCCAAGTTGTTTTATGCCTCTGAATGGAGTGTAAGGTTAATCATTTATGACTCAGCTCCAAAGAGAGGCTAATGACAAGGAAAGAAATGTTTTGCCTTTTTCAGTTTCGTAGTGTAGCAGTGATGATTGTACTCTGCATAGCCAGCTGACAGAGGTGTAACTGGATGCACTTGAAGGTATTGCAAACGAGCTGAGTCTGTGACAAATTCTGGATACAGCAGCTTTGTTTCCCGATCCTCCAAATCTTTTGTTAAGCACACGATTGGCCTTTGTAAGTACACAAAAATCAAAATATGCACACAGAATCACTGAGCTTGATTCCCCAGCACAAATACATGTGTGTGCTCATCTATGTATGTAAACTGTGTACAATTCTGATTGGATGCACATCAGGAAAAACGCTGCACCCAGTCAAGCAAAAAGAATAAATGAATAAATCAAAAAGGCTACAGATGTTGGGTTGATGTGAGTGCTCAGGTCATGTATGTGAATAAACTTACGCACGAACCACACGAATCATAACTTTAACTAGGACAACCAGTAAATGTTAGCGTGATTATTTATTAATTAAAATATATTTGCTCACTGAAGTATCTTTTTAGCAAAGCAAAATAACAGCTATTAAAGCTCTCTCTAAATGAACATGTCACATTTCACAGAATAACAACCAATTATCCAATCTAGACATTTAAGAGAATAAAATCAGTGAAATAAACAAAAAATCTAATTGGAGGTACTTTTGTTAAAGAGAGAAAAAGCTATAATTCAATATTTAACGCTGCCAGAGATATTTTAAACATTTATTAAAATAAAGATACATTGCTTGATAGTATAAAACAAGTAGAAAAATGTTCAAAATTGATGTGACATCCCTTTTTTCTGTTCATCCTTTGTGATTTACCAGATTATAAAAAAATGCTGAGTGGTTCTGAAAAAAATCTGACCTTCGAACAAAAACCCAGATGTATTTAACAGCCCAATTTTCACTAGATAACCACCGATCGACCAGCCAAGGACCAGAATCAGATCTTTTGCAGTGTTCTGACCAATAACCAGCTGGTCAGCCTGCTGTGTGAGTGACAACATGCCGCTTCATGAATGTAAAGATGAGAAGGCAAACAGTCGCACGCACGCTTGCGGCCATTCGCTAATATGTTGGTAGCGTGAAAGCTTTTCATTGTGAGTGGAGGCACAAAGTAAACCGTGATGCAATCAACTGTGAAAACATAACAACAAACCTATTCACACACATTCACGTACAAATCCCCATTACCTAGCTAGTTAGCGATATTTTAAAGACGCTAACAAAGACAAAGTGGCTAAAGCTAAAGCTAGCCAGAGGTCAGAGGGAGCCACAAGCTAGCAGCCTTGGTATTAGAAAAAGATCAAAGCAGTTACAAGGAAAATTATGGCAATAACAGAAAAGAGAGAAGGGTCAATGTCCTGTTATAAGATGATGTTTTGAACATACTGGAAAATGATTAAGTAACCTTTTTTTATTATCTAAATCTGTTGCTTTTGCTTTTGTTTGCTAATGTAAAGTTAGGTAAAGGTTAATGCACAGCTTGTAATTGTATTTGTAACTCGCACCAGCAACATATAACTTTGTTTTCAGAAGTAAACTACAAACTTTAATATAAAATTTTTATTATGAAAATTATATATATTTATATATGTCACTTCCAGTTTAAAAAAAAACCTAATATCAGTAGATTACAAAAAATCTTCATCAGAATTAGTAAGGAAAATCTTTGAAAAAAGGCTTTTCTTGGAAACCAACCCTGATGATTAATAGAAAACCAATTTAAAAAACTGCCATGACTCAGTACATCTCTTGGATAACTGCTATGTTATTTTGAAACTTGGGAACCTGTCTCCACTAGCATTTAAGCCACTAATTCACACTGAGCCAAAATGGACTGAATTAACGTAATTTAAATTGAGACATGCGTGGAGCAGAAACAGGAGAGACAGACACACCTTTCAACACTCAGACCCTGGAATGATAGCACATACCTCACCGCCTGATTAAGTCCCTCTTCGGTTCCTCTCATTTGAGTGACTAATAATAGTCCACGCTGTTCCATGAATCATGGTTATTAAGCAGCGTGAGAGAAAATGTTTTCCCCTAAATCTCATAGCTGCTTATTTTTCACAGTCTCATTGACAGGAGAAAGTTAGGAGACACAGGCATGCTGCACTCAGTCACAACACTTTCAAAACAGGATCTTCATGACTCGCTTTTATTACACAGAGAAGCAAACGAAGCGCTTGTGTTTGTGCTGCTCAGCCAACATTTGAAAACAGAAGGGCAAAGTGAGACAAAGCCAGATTAGAATAGATGAGTGTAAGACAAGAAAAGAAGTCAAGAAGCACCGAGTCATAGGGAGACAGACAGAGAGACGGAGGAACGGTTAGTAGGTGGGGGACCTTGAAAAGCTTTTGTTCTCTGAACACGGAGTGTTAGTGAGGCAGCACTTGGCAGTTGGTTCAAAGCAACAAACTCTAAATCAATCTTTTACAGCTTGTCCAAACAGACTCAAAGAGACACACACACACACATGGACACAACAAAAGGACTAGAAGAGTCTTCAAACAAGCAGAGAATACCAGCTGTGAAAAAAACAAAACTTCCTCCTCCGATACATGAACGGTACCTGAAATAGAGTCTGGCTGGATACTAAGAAGTGTTTGTGTGTGACCGTGTTTATGAAAGTGTGTGTGTCCAATGTTGTGTTTCTTTAATGAGCTCGGTTTACACACTTCGTTAATTGGCTGGCACAGCGCTGTCCACGATCTGTGTGCCACGCACACATTCCCAAACACACACACACATCTCCATTTCACTGTGCTTATTTATTCATGTATTAGTTAGTTTGTTCCACTAGGTTCACTTGCAGGCTGCTGTAGTAATTTCCACTATATTCTCTGCATTGATTTGTGCTGTTGACTGCAACGCTCTGCGCCGTGTATCAGTAACTCCCTGGAAGCGCCGTTTCCTTGCAAATACGCCTTTGCAAAATAAAGAAATGGGTGCAAATTGTATTCTCAGTTAAACGTATCTATCCATTTATCCAGTTACTTCTTTCTCCCTAACATGTATTATTTCCCATAACAAAGAGACAGGTGAGAGTGGAAGAAGTGCGAGCTTTCTAATTAAAGCATCTAGCGGGGGAAGCGAGCCAAGCTTTCTTTCAGCACATCTCTCATCACGCTGGCTGTAAAAATAGCATCAACCCCACAATCCCAGGCTATGTTCTGTCTGCTTGCAGCTCAGGGCTTGTTTCTGGTGAGCAATAGGAGGTACAGTGGAGAGATTTTGCTGTTGCTGCACAACAAATACAGAGCAGCCAACTCAGTAAGCATAGGCATTCTTTTCTAGCTGGATGTGATCGTCCATTCACACAAGACTGTGTATGTGTGTGAGAGAGCTGTGCTAAACATGATTACAGATGGGACTGGTATACATATATTTGTGTGTACTGTATGTGCGTGTGTGTGTTTGTGTGTGGACGTGTAGGCATGCAGGACAGGAGGTCTGCAGGGAGAGATAAATGCTCAAATCTGTCTTCCCCTTCTCACTCACACCCTTCTGCTCAGACCTCTAAAAGCTTACCCCTAGGCTTACCCCGCACACACACACAAGCACACACCCACACATGTGTGAACAAACGCACACACACAGGAGCCTCATATCAACCCTATCCCCAACTCCCATTTCAGTCTTCACAGTTATTCCAAATCCAAAGCAGAGACACACATGGAGACAAAAGAGAGAGAAGGATGGACAGCCAGTGCCATAGCACAGCTCTCTGTAGGATTTATTAATAAGGTGCAGGACACAAGTTTGCACATACAGAGTCCTCGCAGTATAGGTAACATATGCTCACTTGAAGTCACAAGCAGATTCTGAAAGAGAGCAAGTCGGAGAGGAGTTGTTCAATTTTTAAACAGGATGCTTTAAAGCGGAAATGGAATTAGGATGACACTTGAAGATGTTGAATTCCCATTTAAAGGAAAGGTCCAAAAGTCATGCCTTCTGCAGATTATTTATACTTCATGAATCGCCCAGAGAACACGCAAAAAGTGTCCATCCATCCAATGTCGTTCTTCCTTTTCAAGAATGTTTTTTTCCACAGCTGTTCCCCCTTAGCACTGACCCCCCCTCCCATGAACGTCAGGTGGATTTTTCCTCCAGCTTGCCTCGCTGCATTAGCTCTCTTTTCCAAACACCTTAGGGGGTAAGAAGGACCATGCTGCGTCAAAGAGATTCTTAAGATGTCTCCACATGGGGAAGTCGTAACTGTGGAAAAAATCTCTTCTTTAAGCAGCTCAGCACTACTGCTGCCATCATCTTGTGGGTGGCCATGCAGCTAAGAGGGAAAATAAATTTAATCTGATAAAACATCGCAATCAAATGGATGGTTAGCAGTGACCACTTCAAACGTCTTTGGCTTCTGCTATTTGTTCCCAGCAGCATGTCATCCCTTGCAACACCATGGAGAGCTCCATCAGTGGTCGCCACTGCAGTGTTCAGCACCACAGACAGCTCCACACTGGAAACATAATAATAACTTCTTCATACAGCATTAAAAAAATTAATGAAAAACACAGTTATAAAGTTCTCCACAGCTTGGATAAGACCACACTTTTAAAGGTAAGCACACAAATCCAAACATGCAAACACACAGTCAATCATATGGTCTTACAGCAAGGTCTGAGGGCCTGTAGGGGCCTCATTACTGCAACCAGGTGGGTGCAGGTTGTGCACACACCTGGCTCGCTAAAGAGACTTTAATCTAGAATCCCATCAGCTCAATACACAACAAATGCCTTCAGTACACAACATGGATGGTTACATGATCACATGATGTTTCCTTTTAAGGGTACATCAAGAAAAACAGGTTGCATTCTGCCAGCGATGGTTAAAGTACACAAATTATTGCAGAACTGGAGGACACTTAATTCTTATCCTCACAATCACAATCCGATTATTAAGTGATGACGTGACAAATCCTACTTCCGGGTCTAAAGTAGTCTGCGTTTAATATGGCTTTTGTGTTGTTAACATGTTTAATGTTTTGTATTTTCTTCTATTTCATCTCAAAAAGCTCCTAAAACAGTCAGTGATCACTGTTGACCTCCCTCGGCTTTTATTACCGCTAATTATTTATTTAAGCTCAGTTTTTAAAACCTTAGGATGTAACTACAGCCCAGCCCATGCAGCAGTATATGAATGACTAACCTCGTATTGTGGATGGATTATCTCAGTTGTTCTCCTGGCTGAAGTTTGGTCCTTTTACAGCATCCTGCCATGCGATTACATTTGTTCCTGACCACCGAGAACACTCACGTTAACTTTTATCGAGTGGACAAAAAGTTAGCTTGTTTATATTATGCTAACATAGCTGTGTCGCTAGCGGTCACGTAGCACATCATTATATACCAGCTAGCCAAACTTCAGTAACCCTACAAACGTCACTGCTGTTTAGTTTTCTGTCTTCATTTATGCTGGAAGTGATAACAGAGCTGTACGTTTTAATTTGTTTCCAAAACCCCGCAGTCAGGACATGTTATATTGTATTTAGATAGAAGCTAGCGAGCTAACTCCCTGCTAACTTCTAACTCCGTTAAATGTCATAAATTCCGTTTTCATGGATGCCTGGATGTTAAACTCAGTTGTTACACCTGGTAGAGCAGAACGCTGATCATTTTATTAAAGATGAAAGACTTTAGACAGTTTTTCAACTCTCAGTAATGCCATAGTGATCGTTTGATATATGGACCTGCAGCGGAGTTTAGACCCAGACACGGCTAGTGACGTCAGACTTAATGATCTGATAGCACAATCAAATTCATGGGTCAACTGCTATTGATAGAATTTGATAATAACTAGTGAAAGTACATCCACACAAGACGTGTACTATTTAGTCCATTGCATTTGTCAGATTTAGATTACAAACGATTCAAATCATGAGGAAGAAGTATGAGGAAGGACTGTGTACACTCATATCATCCTTATATTCTTATATCTGCCAGATGTTTCTGAATTAATGCTCATCGTATTTAATGCAAGACATCTGGCTTTTGTTTTCTGTGTTTCTTAACTACACAAACTTCATCAAAAAATTAAAAATCATCCTTGCACCGCTATTTTACATCTAACAATGTCATATATACTAATAGAACCAGAACATGAACCATTTACTTTAGAGTCATATAGCACAGTTTGCTCACTACATCTGTACTTCTTCATATTAAACCGAGAACCTGCTGCATACCATCTAAATTTCACACACTACGACAGACATGTTCAATCGGTCATATCAAAAGCTGTGTGTGCAATAAGAGTAGACAAGATGTAGAAAACATATTGGCAAAAATAATTGACAACGTAATTCTTTCTCACCGAAAGCCCTAAAGCCATCAGCATCCCAAATTAAGCTCCTCTTTGTGCCCTTCACTGCCACAGCTGCAGCCCTGGAGAGGACACAAGGCCAGCTCAGCCTCATCACAAATAGGCAAGCGGAATGCTAATAAAGTTGGATTCAATCAAATTGAAAGCAGCCTTTTGGTAATTCATGGCTTTAAAATTAGAATTCTTGTTCTGCATTCAGAGCCTCTCTCAGTCTCTCCCACACAGCCTGAGTCTTATCCTGGCTCGACCTGAAAGAATGTTGTGTTATACACTGACAGACGTGTGTGTGAAGCATTATTTGATTTTAATCGTACAAAAACACTTCAAAATAATGGCACTTTAAAATATGTTAATAGGTTTATGAGCAGAAAAGCTTTATTTTGTAACTTCACCTTGATATTACATTTGAAAACAGATATCATCTTTTTGCTTCTGCTGTTGCTGCTGCCATTCTCTGTTGCTTGTTCACTATTGACACTTATCCTGGTCTCCCCAGACTCTGGCAACATCAGTGAATCCAACTAAGCAACAAGTTTCTTCAACAAACAACTGTGGCTGCTGGCAGAAAATATAAAGGGCATCGGCATCGCCCACCCCCCAAACCCTCTGACCACCACTT